ACACATAAAATTCAAAAGATGTTTAAGGTATTTTTAAATCTAAGTTTTAAATTTATTGAAATGCTGGGGGAAATGCTTGACCTAGTTATTTCATCTTCCATGAATTGTGTATTAGTATTTTTACTCATCTCTCCCATTGGTGTAAAAAATGGCCTGAAGAAATAAGATCACTACTTTAAAAATTCTGAAATCCTAATTCAAATGGAAATCTCAAATTGCTTCACCAAATATTGCTAGTATGGCCTTTCAACTTTAAGCAAGTGCTCTACCACTGAGCTACATCTCTAACCCTCAAGCTTCATTCATCACATACTGTTATGTGCCAGATGGTGCTACTCAATACTTTCACATTGTTGCCTGATAATAAAGGGTAGCAATTACTGAGAATATGATGAAGTTATTGCTGCAATTAGTCTATTTGTAACACTTGACTGAAAGATCCTAACTTATGCATATATTTATTTGTTTAATTAGCCTTAAGTTATATTTAAGGTATAAAAATTTATATAGACTTTTTAGGATTTTATCATCTGTGTTTCTGTCTTCATCTAGAATTTAACTATGAAAATAGTATTATGTTGGAGGGAGGTATGAGAAAGAGATTAAATGTTTATTTGCCATAATTCCAGCACTTGGGAGACTGAGGCAGAAGCACTTGGGAAATGAGTTCAAAGTCAGCCTGAACTACAAGTAAAACCCTGTCTCAAAAACAAGTCATTCATATTATTGATTTTTAACAAAATCTTAATACATACATAAAAGCAAGATTCATTTTACAACTATCAATCACATAAGTGTAACAATTGTCATATTGCATACAGAATGATCATTTTGGTTGGCTTTAAATATTTCCTCATACTGCAGGCTTGTTTTCTTAGGACCACAAGATCTTGACAAGTGAAATACGGCCTTTCATTTGTTGAACCAACAACATAAAAACCAAATGGAGCTGGAGGCACATACATCCATCAGTTTAGAGCCCTGCAAATGCTGAGAAGTCTGAAGCTTTAGTAGATAAATTAATGTTGGGCAATACATGAGTTCTTTCTTGGGAAAAACAAGATCTCAAAATATTTCTTGGATGTGTACATTGCCTGGGAAATATCTGATCCTGTAAGTGCAAATAGGGAGAATGGGAGCCATTTCAGTGATGGGGAGGAGACGTCATGGCCTGAAGCTGGTTCTGCTGACAGCTGGCTCTGGTCTGGGGCAAGGCCCTCACAACACTGCATCTCCAGGAAGCACTCAACTGTGATTAAAAGCACGAAGACAAGACTCACATTTTTATTTGAAAAGGGTTGAAACCTCATTTATGTAACTGATACTCAGCTATGACCACTCTTATAAACTCACGTATTCTACACTCACGCAGTATTTTTCCTCAATATTCTCCTACATCATTTAGAAGACAGATAGGCATCAACTTAAGTCATCGAGCTCCCCAACCTGTTCTTTCCAGAGCAGGAAACTCAAGAAGCACTTGTCCTTCATTAAGCTAGATGTCACAATTGTCAATCATCATGAAGGAAGCTCATTGTAGTCTGGGTCTACTCTACCTGCTACAAATCTCCCAGCTTCTGGTATAAGTGAGAATTTTTATATTAGGGTTACAGTATTGCTTTCTTCATTTAGTTATTTGTGTTTCAAATTGTACCCAAAAGCAGTTATTCTGAGATGTGGAGGAAATCCTCCCCATCAGTATTTTGCCATCCAGAACAACAGGTACTTTTGTTTTGTTCCTCGCCCCCACCAAATCTGTGCATCCTTCTTTAATTTTTGTACCATTTACAAAACATATTTTTGGCCTACAAATTTCATAAGCCAAGGTCAGTATTGCCTTGAAAGATAATGGTAGCTTCCATTTACTGAGCAGCTATTGTTTCATTCTTATTATTCTTATAATTGCTTCATTTAACAAGTACAAGAACTCTGTGAAGTAACAAATGCCTTTCCTATTTTGAGGACATGGAAATGAAGAAGTCAATTATCTTGGATAAGGCACAAAGATAAATGAGAAATATATCCAGGATTTAGGCCCTGATCTGAATTAAAAGCCTATGAGATCTCTGTTGCAAAAAATAGTAATAAAATAACACAAAACACACACACCCACACACCCTTACACTACCAAAAGTTGATATACAGATGATATCAAATTCTAAGAAATAACTCCTGTCTCTTGCTTCTCCAGGCTCCACATCTTCAGTGACTCCAATCCTTTTTTATATTGTTAAGAAACATTCTCCTCATCCTGGTCACTGTTCTCTACATCTACTTAAATTTGTCAAAAGTTATATTAACACCAGAACAAAACAGTGTTTCAACTACTTTGAGAACTGAAAAGACAAGAACATCAGTCTCTCTTGGTAGGGACACAAACAAGAGTCCAGGTCAGAACACGCAGAAGTCGCCAATGTCTGCCGGTGTCTTGATCTGGTCCCAGATGCTCAGAGCGCTCAGGCTTCCAGCACTGCGGCCAGCTATGGTGCTAGAGCTTAGGACCTTTGTCACACCCTTGTGACATGGCACCTGCACTCAGCAAGATTCTGTGGTCCTCCATGACAGAGTGATCTGATATGGGATTTCCTGCAGCCCCTCCTCCTGTGCAGTTGCCCTGGGGCCCAGTGGTTACTGGGAGGTTCTGGCTTGCTCAGCCGGCTGTGGTCTGCTCCAGGCTGCACTCTTTCCATTCACCTCTCATTCTCATGCTGATGGGGCAGTTCTCAAAACCCAAATCTAAAAAGAGCAGAAAACAAAGTGTACAATGTTATCATTTTTCCAGTTGTCTTTTTTGAATTCACTCCGCTCTAAAATTTTTGACTTTAAGTTGATTTTATTTATAATACAACACTCCCCACATTTTATTTTCTTTCCATACATTTTTGCAGTCTTTATTGTATTTGTTTCTCACAATCCAAACATGAAAGTAAAAATATTACATTTTTATCAGCCATGATACATGTCTTCAATCTCAGTTACTCAGGAGGTAGAGGCAGGAGGATCACAAGTTTAAGTCTAACCTGACCAAATTAGGCACAGCCTACCTCTGTCTCTAAATAAAACCTTTATAAAAGGGTTGGGGATGTAGTTCAGCTGCAGTTGTTTGCCATGCATACTGAACACCTGCAAGTTCATGCCTCTCATTTCATAAAGAAACAAATACCCCCTGTCCCTGGCAATTTTTCTGCCTCTATCTTCTGTGCAAGAAACTGTAAGATCCTTGAAGCATCTTTGTCTAGAAAATTAACAGCTCTGCCATGCTGGATTTGTACTGCAAGTTCCCTTTATTTGGATTAGTGCTGACATTATTGGAAGACTGGGATCCTTTAATCATCAGTGCCCAGGAGTGTGGTAAGGTCACCGTGAAGGTTGTTCTAACAACAAACTGCGTCAGCCCAGCTGTTCAAAGCAGGTGTCTTACCACAAGCAGGTAATGTTTTAAGGGCATGGACAGAATGCTCTAAGTGCTAATTATAAACAACCAAGTGGAAACGGAAAGGGATGAATAATTGCAGAGACCAGGCTTTTGAATTTCATTATAATAATGACCACTTGGGAACTGGACCAACATTCTGGAATCCTGGGATCTCAGTAAACAGAAAATATGATTGTGTATGGAGACAGTTTATCCAGGACTATAAAGAATGATATTATATGATGATTTTTAAAAAATGAACGGCACTCTTCTTTCAAATTTGCATAGAATGTAAGGACATACAGAGTAATTTTTTTTCCATATTTTTATTGAGAAACAAATAGCAATGAGACAGTTTCAAATCCAATTAGCAGGACAGTTTTAATAATTAATACATTGCATATAGTTGTCTTACTGATTATTCATTGTACAGGATGCAGACATGATATCCTGTTTACAAACACTATTAGAACAAATCTTTTTATTCATTGAATTAAGAGAATGTAGCTGTATATCTGTCTTAACTGTTTTGAATATACAGATACAAAATGGTTGTTCATTTGTATCCCCTTTTTGTTCAGTTTTGTCATTTAAATATTATAGGTGTGTGAATTCAGCAAAATATTCCAAAATAGTCCAATAGCCCATAATAGCAGTGGGTTTTCTGTAAGACTGGCAATGTCAGAAGTTGTTGACTTGAGCCTTTTACAGCTCAGCATATTAATATGGCTTTACTTTTTATACTTTGTTTTTATACTTTTCTGCTGGATGGCTAAGACCAAGTTAAGCAAGATCTATATAACAAGAACTGTAACTTTTGTATCTGATAAGGTCAGTCAAATCCCCTCCGGGGATCTTATCCTATAACCCTGTACCACAGTTTGTAGATCCCTTGTCATTGTCAGCCATGTGGATGAGTCACAGACATTGCTTGATCAATTTGCTCTCCATAGAGTAATTTTAAAGGCTGTGACCATCAAGAACCACCACCGAGAGCTGGCCCTTGAAGTTCCACAACTTGATATCTACAATATAGATATTAAGGTGTGTAGAAAGAGCTCGGAGGCTTGGGTTTCATCCATAGCTCTTTTCTGTATTCTTATAATGGCTCTGAGACCTGAAGCAGATCACTCTCTGTGGCTATTTTTAATAACAAGGCTTTCAATTTCACAATATGTAAAATCATTTCCAACTGTAAAACTTACTTTCTAAGCTATTCTTCAGAGGAAATAATTGTTTCCATTTTCACATCGTTTTAATCTTAGACAACCTCATGTGAATAAGTTCTATAAAAAGACAAAACACTTTAAATCAACCTGTCCTAAGTGTGTACATACACATATCTATTATATACATAAAGAACCTATTATCAGTGATTCCTGGGTTTTGAATAATGCTTTTCACTTTGTTACTTTTTCTTCCTATTATAGCTTTCTATTTTATGAATTTCTAAGACTAGGACATATGAAGTTAAATTAGGTTCATTAAATTGGTTTAACTCAAATTAAATTGTTCCTCAACTTTTTCTTTTTTAGGATAGCTTTTTCCTGACAGTACTGGAGGTTGAACCTAGCATCCCATGCAAACTAAGCAAGTGCTCTGCCACCGGCCTATACTCCCAGCCCTGCACATAGCTCTTTATAAGAACTTGGAAAATCACTTGAGGCCATGCAACACTCTCATTGTTCAGGCTGCTTTGTGTGGATAGTGGCAAGGTGGTATAAAAAGGAATATTTAATGAGCTCCATATGCATGGATGACTTTGAGTTATTATTTCCAGTTTCTATTTCCTTGTAACATATATGGTAAATTGCCGAGATCCAAGAATCCTCCTCTGTGTTATGAGCCAAAACACATGATCAGGTTACACCTGCTTGGCTTATACTACCTTGGAAACCACTAGACTCCATTTTCCTGTGCTTCAAGAACTAGTTCTCTCTGCGGGAAAGAATGAAATCGATTCATGCTTATTAAAATCAAATCAATAACCAAGCAATTCTCTTCTAAATCTCCACATCTGTCACAAAAGGTAAGTTGTTTTCTTATAAGATTTGTCTATTTAGTGGGAAAATTACATCTCTTGTAATTGGACAGTCATTGCTTCCAAAAAGTTTCAGTGCCAGAGGCAATCTTTATCACAAATCCTAATGTATTGACTTTCAGCCCTGTGCCATTAAACATGTCTTTTCTGGATAAGCTTCTGGGAAGTGCAGTTGTCCACCTGGAAGGTGATAGTGACTTCAGGTCTCTCTGAGTCCTCAGCCAAGGAAGAACTTGTGGCCTCAGCAGTGTGTGTGGCTGATGTGGTGGGAAGGATGGGATTGTAGACCAAAACCCCGGACCTTTCAGGGACCCAGCCTGTGTAGATCGAGAGCAGCCCAAGTTAGCACTTTTCCTCACAGGGGATCTTCTAGGAGCAGCAATACACATGTTCACACAGGGAATTACATACCTTGCAAGTGATGTGTATGCACAACCCTTGGCTTGTGTGGGTCTTTCGTTCTGTTCAGTATTTCTTTTGGACTCCTAATATTGAATTTATTTTTAGTACAATGTTATTTATATGAATAAAAGCCAAAATCCTTAGTTATGGCCTTTAAGTATCTATATTTATAAAGAAAAATCAAAGATCATAAAGCTAATAGAGAAAATTAAAGTTTAGCAAACAAAAGATAGTGCTTCACTGAAATGGAATCACTAGCCCTTAAGGATGTCAGCTAGAGGCTGCAGAAGCTTTGGTTCTGTGAGGTTGGGCCTGCCTGTTCCGAGAGCCACAAGGTAGCTTTTCACCCACCACTGATCTCTATTCAAACTATAAGTGGGCTTCATTCATGCTGCATGCTCACCTGTCCTTTACTCCTGTGCTTCTTTTAGGTCCAGATAATTAGAGATCTGGTACTTGGTCCCAATATGCTTGTTTTTATTTTTTCTGTATTTAGTACAGGGTCTACATAGTCTCACCACATAGATCAGACTCATAGTGATTGTTTTTAGCTTCCCAAGTGCTGGGATTACAGGCACGTGACACCACGCCCAGTCTCAGTGAGCCCCAGGGGCAGGCCAGCACGGGATGCCGGGCTTTGAACCCAGCCGCTGTGCTCTAAGTAGGTGCAGTAGTTTGCTGAGCTATCAGGCGGGCCCTCCAACATGTTCTAAAGCACATCATAAGCTAGGGTTTGGTTTTTTTTTTCCTGTGTGCAAAGGACCAGGTAGCAAATATTGTAAGCCTTGAGTGCCATGTTGTCTCTGTAACAATTACTGAACTCTGCAGTTGTAGCATAAAAGTGGTAAACAATAATAAAGGAGTTGGCATAATTGTGTCTCAACAAACCTTATTTACAAAATAAAAGGTGGACTGGTTTGGCCTGAGGGCTCTATAGTTGGCTGGATCTTCATAAAAGTGAGGACAGAAATGCTAAAATCTTCCAGCAGTCCAGTTATGCGCTGGTCATCTGGTATTTTGTTGTATGTGTGTGTGTGTGTGTGTTTACAATGATACACTTATAAACCTTCTAAAAATCTTTGTAAATATTAAAACACTCTCAGGGGACCACAATTCTGAGTTTGAAAACACAGCTTTAGGGATTTTTATTTTTATTTATTTATTTTCAAGACAGTGGATATATTTTAATTGAACTTTTCAGTTTCACAACATGAGGTAAAAGGAAATACAGTTTTCCTTAATCAGTATTTCACACAGCTATAGTAAAATACTTTAGACTCACGGATTTATAAAGGATTACATTTCTCAAAAAATGTGATCAAGTAAGTTTTACTTAACTCTTTGAAATTTCCAGTTGATTCTTTACAATAGTAACAAGCTCTAGTTACTTAAGTTTCAAGGCCAAGTTTTAATCACGCTGATGTCTTCAGATCTTAAGTCCTGCTGTTTCAATCAATATTCACTAATTCTACTTCAAAAATGAGTTTTGCATTTGGCGGAATTTTGGCATCAGGCTGTCCTTTCTTTCCATAAGCCCATTCTGGTTCAATCTCCAGTCGAGCTTTTTCCCCTTTACTCATAGTCAAGAGTGCTTCATCCCGTCCTCTGATAACTTTGCCGACTCCAACCTTAAAACTTAAAGGCTTGGCATTTTTCTTCTTCTTTGAACTTGTTTGAATATTAGTATCAAAAACTGTCCCATGCTGCAGCGTCCCTGTGTACCAGCAGTGCACAACGTCATTTTTGGGAAAGTTGGTTTCATCTCCCTTTTTCAGAATGGATTTTGTGTATTTTGGTGGACCTTCATCTTGAATCTCTTCAGACTTGGTTTCCTCGGGTTTTTCTTCATTGAGCTTCACATTCTTCACTTGATCAGTCACTTTACTTATGCTTTCAGTACCTTTAATTTTTTTTTTAAATTTTATTTATGTGTGTGTGTGTGTGTGTGTGTGGCCAGCTCAGCCCACCAGGGGGCGGGCTGGCTGGCATGTGGTGCTGGGGGATTGAACCGTTGTCCCCGTACTTTGCTAAGCTTGTTCTAAGTAGGTGCTTTAGACCACTGAGCCATCTCACCAGCCCGCTTTCAGTACCTTTGAAACGCTTAGTTTCAAAAAGATGATTGTAAGCTGTAACCAAATGATCCTTATTAGCTGTCTTAGCTACATTTTTAACGTTTCCTAATAATTTATGCTCTGCAAGAAACGAATCTGAACCGTGGTCCTCCAGAAACTTGATTATGTCCTGCTTGGGCAGCTGCTCCACGGTCCACGCCTGCTGGGCACAGCGGCCGCCATCTTCCCCCGCTGCTCCGCAGCTCTAAAGCAGCCCTTCAGGGATTTTTAAATAAGCAGTTGTTAAAAGGTATTTTAAAGGTTAAATAATTTGTATGCAAGGTAAGACAGAAATGTGGATCAGTCAATGAACCCCGCGCTGTGAATGGAGCTGGAGAGTAGCCATGCAGGACCTGGGTTTTTTGTGGGCTTTTAGATTTCAACGAGTCTCTCACCTTTTTGAGTATTGCTAAGTTGGGGCAGTCAGAGACAACAGCCTACTACGAGAATGGAAGTAAAGGTCCTGATGCTGTAAAGAAATAACCAAGGGCTAAGAGAAGGAGGACGAGGAGGAAGAGGAAGAATAGGAGGAAGAGGAGGAGGAGAAAGAGAAGAAAGTTAGTCTAAAAAAGACAGAAAATTTTCTCTGTTATTTTTAAATTAGTGGTTTCTTTCCATGATCCATTTTGGAATCTAGTAGGTCACTGTTTTCTCCAGCTAGCTTTATGGCCTGTGGCTTGTGAGGCGCCCTTCTGTTGCGGAGGGTCCCCAGGCTGTGGCATCTGCTCAAGCTGAAGTGTGCCCTTGCCCACGTTGGTAGACAGCGAAGGTAGTGAGACCTCAGATCTGGATGTATGGGGAGACTGTATGTGAGCCAGCTGCTTGCGAGTGCGGACAAGCCAGGCCTGGCTTCTCTCAAGAGGGTGGACCTCTGTCCTTTGGCCTGAGTTTGCATTTCTCAGGGGTTCTTGGTGCAGCTGCCCTCACCCTGTCTCACAGCCCTCAACTAAGTGAAGTTTTTAGTTGTTTTGAGTCTCAGACTTCAATAATCAACTCCTCCTTGAAATGACACTGAGTAAGCACTCTCTGGCAACATGAGGGCTACTGCATGGGATCCCTGACTGCTGCCTGCCCTGTGGAAGGAGCCACCTTGAGCAAAACCACACACTGCTTTTGCAGTTATAACAGCGGTGGGTTTCCAGTGCATCTATGGAGGAAGGTTTTGCTTCTGGGAGGCTGGGGCCAATTTCCAGATGGCTTTGATTTTCTCTCTCTATTGTGGTCCATTTCCCCAACTTCTCTGCAGATTTTAATTTTCCTTCCCAATTACAGAAGATTTATGTCTTTTTGTTTGCCTCTTTGCTCCTTTCCAGGTATCTGGTTTCTGGATTTCAGTAGAGGCTGAATTTTGTTGCTGATCGCTACTCTGCTGTTTGGTTCCTCCTGCACCCTGTAATAGACACTTTTGCACCATTAATGCAATGGGAAGTTGTAGTAGAGCTGTTAAGTGGCGACATGAGGCTAACCTGGTTATAGAATGAACAATGGGTTGAAGGCAGAACAAGAATAGAAACAGGAAGGCAGGAAGTGTGGGCAGCCTGACTTTGGGTAGTAGAAATGCAGATGTAGAGTGAAAAGTTGGGGAGCACATTTCTAAACTGAAAACTGGCTTTGAATGTAAATTGTATGGTGGTTTGGAGAAAAAAAAAAAAGGGAAAAACAATTTCTAAATTTCTGCTTCCTCACTTGGATGGAGTGTGGTGAAGTTTGTGGAGGCAGAGAACACTGCAGAAAGAACAGCACCTGGGAAGGGAGGCAGCAGAAGATGGAGTAGGCATCTGCGAGAGCTTACATGAGGATATTTTAAGATCTGTGAGTTGACATCATAGCAGAGATGCCAGAGACAGCTGGAGCTCAGAAACCAGGCCTGGCCTGCGCCGCACTGGGAAGCTACTGGGTCAGAAGGTGGGGAATCACTGAGGTGTCTATGGGTGAGGAAGTCTTTAGGAAAGCCTGCAAGCATGGAGAAAGATGTGTGTGAGAAGCCATAGCTCTCTGATATTTTTAGTGTTTTTTATTAGGTTCATTTCTTCCACATTTAATTTTGAATATTTCTATCGTTACAAATGAGTAATGCAGCAGGCCAGGAAGATAGCTCAGTAGAATAAGCGTTTGTCTGGCAAGCGCGAGGGCCTGAGTCCAGTGCCCAGTTCTGCCAAAACAAACAAACAAAAAAAGAGTAATGAAGAAAATCATGAAAAATAAATTCCTCACAACTCAATTGATAAACATTAGTAATATTTGTTTTTTTCCTTTGTACCTATTTCTGTTGTTTAAATGATTGCCTCTAAATGTTTAGGTCCTTTGAGCTTGTATTACTTCTTTATGTCAAGCAAACTTCCTCCCACTTTTTAAACTATAGTAAGATATGTAAAATTTGCCAATTAATATTTTTTTGTGTGTAATTGTGACTTTAATTGTACTCACAGTGGTATGCAACAGCAGCCATGAGGGTTCCAGTTTCTATATATTTTC